TAGTTTTACAAAAATAAGTGATATTCATTTTGTAAATACTAGGAACAGACACAAGTTAGTAGTACCAGTTACTCGACTCCACCGAGTCAATAATCATTCTTGGGGTGATGTATACGCTTTTATAACAAAATTCCAGAAAATATACAAAATTTGAACTGCTCAGTGCAAAACTTTATTAAACTAAGTTTGTATAAAAAAAGTTACTATAATATTAAAGAATTTATGGATGATAATAACCCCTGTGAATGAGGTGATTGCTAACAAGTAATTTCTAATTTGTTTTGTGTTACTAATTGTGTAACATGTATTATTGTAAGCTGTACTTTTTTTATAAAATCCCGCTAGGTAATAGTTAATAGTTAATAGAGTAATAGAACCAAAGTAACCGACAAAGCTCAACACATCACTAATCTGAAGTGGCAACCCACCGATCACATATCTCGAGAAGCCGTTAACATGTAAGAAAGAAAGGATCAACGTGTGTACAAAAGTGGCAACCTTGTATCGGTAAGTGGAGGGTTAGGGCGGCTCTAACTAGATGAAGTAAAGATCTAGTAAAAATGCTGGATATAACTATAATTGGGGAGTAGAGATGTTCAGGTGTTAAATTGTTGATAATATGTGACTTGATAATAATGCAATTTGCTCTAAACTAAAATTTTAACGTCACGTATTCTACAATAACATGTGTTAGAAAATCATAAACGAAAATCTTTCATTTAAGTCATTTTATTTATATCATCAATCAAAACTACAATATTTTAAACTACAAAGTACACAAAGATATAGTCATTTTCGACTAGACCACACATTATTCTAATACTTACTTTAACAGATTAAAATACAAATTAGAAACCCTCGCATTACAAATAGATGTAATTTTAGAACAAATAAGTTTATGACATTTAATACAATCAGAAATATAAATGATAACATTTAGGTCGATTTTTTTTTAATGAAATAGTGTTGTCAGACGAAATTGAATTTTAAACACAACCTTGTTTTTAATTATGCAACTTATTGTATTAACATCCCTCTATACTGATAAGGACGTACAAAGATTATTTTGAAGCAAGCTGTCATTAATCTACGAATTCTTCATAAAATTACCAATACTAATTTTACACACAATTGTCATATTTGTAGCAATTTAATTTTAAAACACAGTCCAAAGCAATATAATAGACGTAGTCGTTACTTATTATTCAATAAGTCAATAACACCACTAAAATATATGTATATTAAATTGATCCACTACTTTAAATACAAAATATCAATCGCTTATCACTTCTAAAGGACTAAATCGATACTTAGTGGAATCAAGATAGCTCCATGCGACTTTCACTGTGATGTTCGAACAAAAAAATACTAGTTTTCACAAGAGATTGGAAATTATCAAATACTGTCATTTGTAGATTTACCTTCATTTTATTAATTGAATTTTAATTGGATTTATAAACATATTTATAAAAATTTAACGCTAAGAAAGTAGAATTTATCGTAGAAATAGTAAAAACACGTCAAAAATTTAGACTAAATGCAGTCTATAGTTTTCAGCCCACTTATAGTTAGGTGTTAAATATAGTAAATGTTAAACCCATGAATGTCATGACCAACTATGCAGCTAACAGCGCGAACGAAAACAAGACTGACGAGTTCCTCGTTTAATTTATAAGAGCGGAGTAGCACACCAAGCTCTTTTTTGCTCCTTTTAAGCATCTTCGAAATTAGTAGATAATAAATTAAAATTAAATGTTTTTCGCAACCGACTTCAATATAAATTATTAAGAATAACTCAAAAACTATTGGTAAGACCTTGATTAAATTTATTAGAGTCCACGTGAGAAGCACCAACTTTCAAATAGAAAAAGAATCATCGAAATCGGTTCACTCGGACAAAATTTATTAGGTAAACACATAAAAAAACATACAGTCGAATTGAGTACCTCCTCCTTTTTGAAGTCGGTAGAAAAGTAGAAATAGTTATTGTAGTAACACAGGTACAACCCACTTGTGTTATTACATATATAACATAATCGCCATAATTTAATACATGTTTAATACATGTTTTGACTTTATTATTCCAATTAAACTTTTCTAAAATCTCAAAAAAAATCGTAATCCAACTGATTAAATCTTACGACGTAACGCGATAAAGCCAAATTGGCAGCATAGTTGTTATGACTAATAAACGTAAAATGTATACAAATAATAGATTACAAAATAATAAATGAGATTTAGGAAAACAGTGCAAGTATATTTAAAAATACAACGGCAACAGTGGTAGCCCATAATAAAAAAAATATCACATACTAGTTAGGAAAAAAATTCATTTGTAATTAAAATTACAGGAATGATTAAAATTATAAGAATTACATCCATTATTATAAATATTAATGCATCATCACTAATTTGAGCAAAATAAAGTTACTTCACTACAAATTGAATGATAGACTTGAATCCAATACTTAGGCTGAGATCTATAGATCGTACTTTGACTTTGCTCGGACTTAGCTTACGAAAAACTTAGCTGAGTAAATGCTAAGCATAAACTTTGATTCCGAATTTATAGATGTATCGGGCTAAGATTAAGCTAAGCTAATGCTAAGGCCCAGACAGTCTAAATATTCATGGATGCTTCACTCCACGCATTATGTTTTTGACTTTACTGTATAAAACAAAAAAATACATATATTTAAAATCAAAATTACCGTATAAAATTAAAAAAAATATATTTTAAAATCGAAAACAGGCAAAATTTTATTTCATAAATAAGTTATTATTACATGAAATAGAAAAGGGGTGTATGAGAATGGGAACGCATGAGATGAGTGCAAAATCAAAAAAAAAAGAAAAAAAAAAGATTTTAAGAAATTTGAAATAAGATTACGTAAATAGAAAATGGAATTATGCTATTTAAAACTAAGACGGTCTAAAACTACCTATTTCTTGTTATAAATAATTAGAGCAATATAAAAACAACAATTTAAAATTAATACGGTGGTTTTGAATAAAACCCTGAGTTTTACGTAAGTCGTCGATATCGTTGACTTAGGCTTTGCTAAGCGCGCACTCAGCACGAGTTCGAAGTTAACTCGAGAGAAAAGTCTGAGCAAAGTCGAAGTACGGTCTATAGGTCTCACCCTTAGTTTAATCAAAATATAAAATACATACATGTTCTGTTGTCAGACTATCACGATCTTTGATTCTCTTACAATAAATTAATTTCTTTTAAAAAGCTTTTACTTGAGTATTCTCAGTATATCAAAGGTTTACTCAAAATATAATCCTTTTTTGTTTGATAATTTCACATAGTACATTTACATATCTACAACGATTACTACACACACAACGCTTTACAGGTTATTCTGCAACCTCATTATAAAAATTAATGCTGAATCGAAGGTGCACACCTAGCACAGGACTTGCGTGTGTAGTAATATTCTACAAATAAAAAGAAAATATTATAAAAATACTATTTCTATCATTAACATTATCATTTCTATCACGCATACCGATATAAAAATATAGTATAAAAACTTTATTTCCAGTCAAAAATAACGAATAAATAAATTAATTAACAACCTTCCTCTTGGAAGTTGTAAGGTTGTCTATTTTTATAAGTTGATTCGGACTCCTTCAATAAACGAGACCACCAAAAAAATTTAGAAAACATAAAACAAATTTATCCAACTTTCAATAAATAAACAGAAAAATTGAAATAATTTGATATCATTCAAAAAAAAACAATAATTTTAGACCTGCTAAAATTATTTACAATTATTAAATTAAAATAGATAATAGTTCAATCTTATACTCTCATCACAATTCTTAACATTTCGCCTTATACAGCATGGAGCAGGATATGGCGAGCCCGGAAAAGTTTGTATTTTTGTGGTTTGCAACTGTTAGGCGGCATCGGAGCAGCACCGGAACAAATTTAAATGTGCATCAAATGCTTTCCGCTATGCTTACAGCAAGTGTTATAAAGTAAGAAAAATCTATATTTCCTAACCTTCACCAACGATATGAGAATGAAAAAAATATAGTACATAGAGATACGCCGAACTGCCGAACAGACTAAACACGAAATTGTATGTAATATTAAGAAATGGTTGCATTATCTGACATATTAAGACATGTAGGAAATGTTCCACAATTCACACTTACAACTACACATATAATTATTAATAATTAACTTTTCAGTTAAATTACTCACATTTAACTACTTCTAAATTATATGAGATGAAGTAATGTGTTATATAACCATAGCAGTATATTTTTATTTGCAGCCTCTGAACTTTAAAAGAACTGCCTTTTCTTTTTTTTTTCTTAATACAACATCAACACATAGCATGTTTCATTATATCATTAGACATTTCTAGAGATTTTTTTATTTTTTTTTGAGAGAGAACAATTAGGCCGCTGTAAATGAGAAACAACGTCAAAATATTTCATGTAAAGAAAATACTCAAGTCAAAATAATAAGATGGGTGTATTTAAGCATTAGTGGATGTTTTCACAGCTGGCCCCTAATAGCAGACGAGGGCAGTGAAATAGTCAAAAAACTATATCACTGCGCTAAGGCTTACATACAACCATTTTTTTTAATATGAGTAATCCTTCTCCTGGTTCTTTGAATTCTTACACATTTATCTCTAAACAAAAATCACACTACATGATTATAATATAATCTCAAAGTAATTGAAACCCCCATTCCGATATACAATAATAAATCACTTGATAAAATTATCACAACAAAAACTAAAAATACTAGTTAAAAATTAATCTGCAACATAAACAGTTTTCAATTATTGATAATACTTAATACGAACACTGCTGTGTGTGAACCTGCGAATGAATGCATTTAAGAAAGACATGCTCTTAGTGACTAGTACAAGTCCCTGTAAACGCACAAGTGCAATTCGGAATAGGGGTGGAGTAAAATATAATAAACTACATATAATATACTGAATAAATGAACTAATATTTCAAGATATTTAAACTTGAGCTACCTCTTGTATATAATTATCATTGACCGCATTCTGAATTTTACAAACGGTGTCGTCATTAATAATGTTGCCATTCTTCTCTATAACAGTATCCTTCGTGTTAATGATTGTATTCATGTTGTTGTTCTCAAGAACATCATCGCAACCGCATCCCATGAAGTCGGTGACACTGAGGGTCACCTTCTGTGGATCTTGCGCCTTTGCATCGACGAAGTTCACCAGAACTTGGGCTGGGGCATTCTGTTCTGGTTGCTTCTTCTTGCGGCGGCGGTGAGCAGCCTCATTAAAGACTTGAACGCTTGATAGCGGAGCTTTCACTCCATCCGAGGACGATGACGTTTGGCGTTGGTATTGCTTGAAGGTCTTACGCAGGCCGCAGCGGCATCCTTTTAGAGCCTTCTCGCGCCTGTTGAATTAAAAAAATAACATTTCATTATGCTTCTCAAAAATTGAATGGTTTTTATTTTAATAAAATACTTTAAAAATACTCACTCGACGATGGCTTTCTCCCTCTGTTCTAATTGTAGGCGCACAGCGCATACTTCCATGTAAAGCTCGTTGGCGCGAGTGAGTTGTTGCTCGTACATATGGCGGGTTTGTTTCTCCTCTTCGCGGCGCAGGGCCATATTTTGGGCCTGCGGTTGTTCACTCCTGATAAATGTATAAAACTCATGTTGAAACCACTTTATAATTGTTTCTTAAGTGCATTTGCTCATATAAGAAACAAGTGAACATTGGATGGCCAACGTTTTATAATACAGGAATAAAAAAAAAACTGGTGTCAAAAACCGAAATTGATAATGAAGTGAAAATAGTATTTGACTCGTCACTTCGGCGAAACGGTATTGACGACGAAAAAAAATAAATTTGGAGGCGAAAGGTTTCGGGAACTGTGGTGAAATACAATAAAGTTAAAAAAAATCTTTCTTTATCGTTTCTCGGTGGTAACTTTTTTATTGCAATTGAATTTTCTGAAGTGAGTTGTACTGAGAATTATTCGTCATATTCAATAACACTTGTGTTTATACATTATACTTATGTTTTATAATAGTGATTTATTTAAAATACAATCATCATTGTCATTACAGCCCTTTACAAGTCCACTGCTGAATATAAGCGGACTCTGTCCCAAGAAATGCTAGAATACACGGCCATGAGCCATTTGATTTGAACCACAAGAGTACATCCGGGCTGCAAGAAATTTGAAGGATAGGTTTTTTACGTTCGGGCACCGTCGCGCTGAAAAATTGATGAAATCATAATTGTGTAGTTTCTCTTACAATGTAAGAAAATATGTGGATAAATCTGTTTTTTTTTTATGTTTGTTAAATTTGTTTTCTGGATATCTAATAACGGTAGTATAACTGGGAAATTTTAGTACTTTCGAAAAGTTTCTAAAAGGTTAAAAGATTTATAAAATTATCCGTTTATATTAAAAAAGAATTTGTTACAAACATTACACAGGTAAGAATAAACTGTATTGTTGAATAAAATATTTGCTCTAATATTATTATGCAAGGGAATGGAAACACGTAAATCAGTGGAATACGTCAGTTGGACTAAACAAAGCCTGTATATCCTTTTAATTAAAGACAAAGTAAGAATAGAAATGTTTTGATGAAATACGAGGTTCAAGATAATGTATTTATAAAATGGTCGTTTCCAATTCGGCAATAAATACTTTGATTTTATTTTTAAAAAAAAGTAGGTGAAAAGGTAGGCGCGTAATAATTACACGATACGATACTAAATACGATAATAAATTATTTACACGACACGACGACAGGCGAATTAAAGAGAAGAATAATCGAAAAACACGTAAACGGCAGAAAACGCTACGATACTAAAAAAAAAATCTTAAAAGAAAGCAAAAAGTTTCAGCTGCCATAGGAATTCATTTGATTTTTGTGGTTATATGTTACTAATATTTTAGGCGTGCAGAAATACTTGTATATTCTAAACTTTTATTAGCAATTTACAAACAAATATTATGTTTGTTATCACGTTCTCGAAAACGGCTGTAACAATTTTGATGAAATTTACAATACCTACAGGTAAAAATAGATCTGGCTAGATTTAATTTCATTTCAAAATTAGCTTTCTCTGTGTTTTCACGCACAAAGCAACAAACTTGACCGCGCGAAATGAAATAGGTAATTTCGCTTTAGAAATCTTTTAAGGCTGGGTGTTCCTGTTTTTTACTTTTAGAATCTGAAAAAAAAATACACATTTTAGAGGCGTCGTCCTAATACAACGCGAATGTGCGATCATCGCAAGTTCGAGCGAATTTTACTCGTATGAACACACGATTGAACATACTGATCTCGAATAGGTGTCCTAATTGGCATTCGCGCGATCCCATCGCTCGACTTAATTGTTTGAAAATCTGTTCGCGCGAACTTAGTTCGTACGAACGCGCGATCAAACATATTGCTGTCGAATAGGTATCCTAATTGACATTCGCGCGACAGTCACGTCGTGTCGTCGGGCAGCGGGATGAAGGACCCTGCCTCGACCCGACCTATATTGATTGTGAAATTCACCACGTATCGGTCTATTTCCAACAAAACACATTGCGACCCATTTCGTTTTTTTTTTTTTCAATAAAAGCAGAATAGGTCATCCATATATTTCTAGAAAGTAAAAACCGGGCGTTTCTGAAATCCATGCTTAGCGCCAATGCGAAGCGAAGCGGAACGCGCGGCCGCTCGCATCGTCAATTCGCGCGATGATCGCGTATTTGCGTTCTATTAGGACACCCACTTTTTGATATCAATCGATCACCCGATCGTTTTTTTTTTAATTACTTTTATTAAAAAAATTATCGATTATTCAAATTCAAGTGATTTTCAATTCGCGCGTCGCTTGCCAGCTTCTCTTCTGCTACGTAAATAATATTTCGGAAATGAAATAAATTGTAAATAAATATAGTTTTATCGAACTTATATATAGATAATTTTTAAGATTATGTAGTTAAGATTTTGTTTGTGTGTTTATTACTCATTGTGTAATGTGTTTATAACTTTAAGACAATATATATAGTGATTATTTTGTAAAAATCATGATCATATACGCGGCCCGACTAGATCATTGCGACGACCGCTTGTAAATACCTAATACGCTTGGAACACACTGCCTTAAACAACAACTTAATGGCTAGAGCGTACGACTACTACGCCGGAGTGGGTGAGTTTGAATCCTCATACATATATCGATATATATTGTATTTTTAATCGCGATAAATCGATATTTATTTTAGAGTATCGAATTCGTATCAATTTTGAAATATTTTAAAATGTTGTATTAATGGACAAAACATGAAGCAACGAAAGCATTCGTGTGCGGTTGTCGTTTTTTTTTTCGTCGTCCAACCGTCAGTTATTAAAAGACAGTGCCCATCTGTGCCCCAGAAATACCCAGATAAGTATCTTTATACATTACAAGATTGCTCTTATATGCAAATATATCTTTTTGAAATTCCGCGGGAAAATTACCTAGTGCTTTAACAAATTGCTCGGTACACTTTGCACTTTAAAAGGGAAAATGATTATAGTTCGAAAGCTCATGACGCATTTTTCATGAAGTGTTTGATGCATCATGACACTTTGTTGAAAAGTATCAGTAAGCCTGTCCTACCTGGGTACACCTGGCACTGCGCATACAGGTAAGTCGCAAAAACAAATTGCCCAAAAAAAAGTGTTTGATTCAAATAATAAATAAAAAAAATAATGACTATCCGTCAGCTTGATAAATAATTAAGAAAAAATTGGCAGACACTTCTGAAGGGGCAAAATACTAACCCAAAGTTGTATTTTCAAAAATTAAAAAAAATGTTTGATTTAATCTGCCGTTTTTACAGCGTGTTTATTATGTATAATAAATAAATAATGGCCTTAGACTTGTTGGATAGAAGTTGGAAAATATACATAGCAAAAATGTACCTGGCATAAAACTTATCCATGCAGCTCTGTACTTCCTTGCGCCAGGTGGCCTGAATGGCACTGAAGCAATCAACACGCATTGTACTTAGCTCTTCACCTGCAATCTCTAAGTGAGCGGAGATGATCTTAAATGGGGGCCTGTTAACAATAATACAACAATAAAATACTTATCTACAAGCTGGATTACAAAAGAAGTATCATAGAGAACTTACCTGTTCCGCGGAACACGATTCCAGCACTGAATAATTAAGAGTTGGAGACTATCAGGACATGATGATGGAATCGGCAGAGATATAGTATCTGTACCGACACCCCACATTACAGCGTGAGTCTCCAAATTCTTGTAGGGGACTTCCTGAGTGAGCAGTTCCCACAGAACAACGCCATATGACCAGACGTCAACGCGCTCCGAACAAGGCTCGTGTCGAATCACTTCGGGAGCCATCCAGGCCACAGTACCTGTGAAGCTCATGATCGCACTCACGTCATTCCATTCACGACTTGTCCCAAAGTCGCTCACTTTCACGACTAAATTGTCCGCAATGAGAACGCTGAAAACATTTTTTATAAAATACATACAAAATATTCGAGGTGATATTATTAAATTTTCAAAAATCCGTTACTTCTATAAGCATTAACAGCATTACTTATATCAGATTAAGAATAATATTATGATATTAAACAATTTCGGTTAAAGGTTCTGAGTGTAGTGGCCACAAATTAAACATGAAAATATTACTTTATGGGAACTAAGCGCGCAAACATGACACAATATTTCAAACTAACTCGCGCATTGAAACGGTGATTAGCAACCATTTTAATAAGTTTTATTACGACTCGGGATGCACAGTCAAAAGTTGACCTCAATTCACCATTATTTTTGGTTTCAATTGCCAATAACGTAGTCACTTACAACTTATAATAGTCCGGTGGATCGGTCTGCCTTCTTGTAAAACGTTTTAAAATTGTTGTCTGGCTATCATATATATAGATACTACCAACGGAAAGTGTTTAAGAGCATTGATAACTGATTTTTAACGATATTATCTAACATATACTTACGTAGAAATCATCTGGGAGAATAAACTTGAGGTGAATAACATTTTTACGTACCTTGATTACCTGATACCTGGAAAATGACCCATTAGCCAAGCTAGCAGGTAGGCATACGATCATAGTATATACTACCACTACTCACTCATACACATTTCGTTCGTCAGAAAATAAGTGACATGGGATCTTGCTCTATAATAAATAACACCATTGCGCTCGTAACTTGTCACCGGAGACGTTTTAAGTTGTAAGGGGCAAAGCAAATCGTAATTAATCTGTATTATGATAGTAACGCTATTCGAACTAACCGCAGCACAATTTAGGTTGGGCCATTTTTTGGACCTAGGAATGCTTCCATGTTTTATTTGCGTTCACTGTCCGAATCTAATATTTTCAACGGAATTTAAATATGTATTGTTGCTTAGTAGCTCCTATGAAAGGTCTCGTTATGTTTATGTTTAACCTCCGACGAAAACTAAGCGGTGTTATAAGTTTAACGTGTGCATCTCTGTCTGTGTGTGGCATCGCAGCGCCCAAACGGACGAACGGGCATTGATTTAGTTGGTTTTGATCGAAAGGTGATTGGATCGAGAGTATTCTTAGCTATGGCTGTGATTCAAGAAAATCTGTACAAGCGTTTGAATATCATCAGCTCTTTGTTTCAACAGGGCTGGCATGGGCAGGAGACAATTTTAACCTCGGGGAAAGGAGAAAATGTTTATCTCGTCGCTTAGTTTTATCCACCCTTCGAGCATGGGCACACCGGTGGATATACTATCCATAGCGGATAAAATGGGAGATAGACTTACGACTTAGATTTTTTGCATGAATATAAACTTAAACCCACGTCCAATGAACTAGGGTAAAATTCCCTTTCAAATGTCAAGAGAGCATAATTTTTGAAACGAAGTTCCTTATCGGACGGTACGGGTTTGGCGGATGGGAGCTAGGCGACAAAAAGTGTAAGATTTTTTCGTCACTACCCCTTGTGTCATAGAGTAGACGGCCTTGGCGGCGAAATAAGTAAGTGAGATGGAATAATATCCATCTCCATCGCACTTTTTCTTATCTTGCCATGAAAGAAATATTATTTTATTTCAAATGACCCTTCATTTTAATAGACGCTAGTAATTCATTTATTTGTATTTGTTAATCAATAATATAATACCTACGTTTATCAATAATAATATACTACGCAAGGAACTTCGTTCCAACCGAGTGTTCCACGACACTCACGCCTTCTTTTTATCTTTTCATTTGGCTCCATGCTACGGACAGGGGATATATGTCTACTCGTTATGTCAAACGGGGTTATACTTCTCCCCGTTGCCGTGCTTTGGCATAAGGACAAAATAATTTTATCTCTTGTCATAATATTGGATATAATTGGGGAATAATTTTTTATCCCCAACCCATGCTAGCCGTGCAATATTTAAGTTATTAACTGGATATTTTTTCACATAGTAAAAATCTCTCATCTGTCTTTTTTTTATAGGATAGGGTGACAAACGAGCACATAGTCCACCTGATGGTAAGTGGTTGCTGTGGCCCATAAACATCTACATCTATCCTCGTTTTCGAATCAAAATGCAGATGCGTTGTCACCCGTGAGGACTGAGATGGAATGCCTCTTTTCCAGTAAAAAGGGTCTCCGGTTCTCTACACTCAACATACAAAACACAGCAGCGTTAAGCTACCATCTAAGCTAAGCTTTAAGATTGATGGAAAATCCTTTCAGGAGTTCGATCTTCGTTACACACATTTTTTTTTCATATTACTTTTAGCCAGAACACGAATATCAAAACAACTCTTATTTTTCAGATTTCATGATTCCGGTTAGATTTTCATAAAATCTTTAGGCCTATAACTATAACAAATTGGTGTCTTTTTTATGTCTAATAAAATTAAGTTACGTTAAAATTTCTAGTGGGCCCAAAAACGATTGTCTCTTTTTATGTATGATATTACATTCAATATACCTAAAAGTAATATATTGCACGCCTCATAACACGAAGCGTTATTAGTTAGTGCTTTATTCTCGACATGTCAAATTCAAGCAATTTTGTGTTCTAAAAATGCCTCTATCATAACCCTACTGCATATATATACGATAATATGAGTAGCCGTATATCAAGAAAACACTCTAATTAATGTGTTACATTTTCTAAAAAATACATTTTATATTGCTACTACTTTGAAAAAATTTTTACGTGGACGTACAAAATCAACAACCGGTGATTTTGTATGTGGTCACGATAACTCATAAAATTGACGTATTGAGACCAGGTTTTTTCGTATTAGCTTCAGGATTACATCAAATGGTTATCTATTTCAGCCTATTACGCGTAGTTTGTTAATAAAATGATTTTTAACTTTAAGTTTTATTGTTATTAAAAATTTAAAGGCGCTTTCATATTTTTTTATTACAAATGTAACCATACAGCCTATATCGATTTTATACTTTGTGTAATCGATTTATTTTGGTAAACATTATTAACTTTTTCCCCTGTAGGAGACACTACCTGTTAAAATAATAGAGCGCTAAACTTAAAACATATAAATAATATATTTTAAACAAGGAATACAATTTACTTTTTTCATCAAAATTTAAAAAAACGGTCATGAGACGTGCACTTTCTTCCAAACTATTTATATATATTTATACATCCCAACAAGACGAGCATACATTATGTTATAATTAATTAATAAATAAGGTGAGAAGAAGTGACGGCCCCATCGCCCATTGACATAACAGTTAAATGACGAAAGTTGCGACGTTGGCGCACCTTCAGTCAGTCAGCACCATATGCTAAGACATGTTAGCACCGTACATCGGCAAAATAGAAGGTGCACACGCCCAATTGTGCATGTGGGTATAATAGCACCTTATAAAACGTTGCCAGGCCTAAGAGTCCCCAGGTAAATGACGCCCAAAAAGTATGGATGATAAGAGTGAGCACAGGCCACTGCCTGAAGGTCGCCAGGACACGTCTGACAATAGAGATGGACGCGACAGAAGACGTCTAAAAACGGAGATACGAAAAGCTTCAGCACCACCAAGGGTCTCTTAGCATCCGCCAACACCACCAGAGGGCTTGGTGTGAGCCGGGTCTGGCTGTTGGAGTAAGCCGTATGCCCTGGATAATTCCAATGAACAGAACGCATTGCATGCGTACTGGGCTAGTATTTTTTGTTAAGCTAGCTGAGCCATCCATCACCGTCATGCGTTCGTCAGTATTTGAGGATGACGAACTACGTTTTACTTTAAATAGATTCCTCAGACCTTCTCGATTTATTTTACAGAACGTGATAAACAAACATTGTTAATATTAAATATTTATATTAATTTTTGTTCTATTCTCTGGCAATACTGTACTACGAGGGTAAAGTATTTTACATTTTTAATTAGTTCTAAAAAGTGCTGCAGTAATTATGTTTTTTTTTCTTAAGCTGGCATATTAAATTCATATAAAATATTATACAAGTGAATTTTAATGTTAGCACTTACTTGGGACTCTTCAAATCACGATGGATAATCCTGTGGCTATGGAGGTAGCTCATACCTTGAGCTATTTCTTTAGCCCACTTTAGAATTTGTTTTGGCGAAAAGCACACACCGCTGTGGAGAAACTCAAACAGCGGTCCGTACTGACAGTACTCCATTATAACGCAGAAGTACGGTGGCTGGCTGCAGACGCCTCGGAAACGGACTGTTTATAAAAAAAAAATGCAAAGTAAGCAAAGAACATTGACAATTTAATAACTGAAATTTTGTAACTAGGGACTGGAAGGGAGCAGACAGGTGCGGGTGATAGTAGACAGTAGAAAATATCTAAAATAAATAGCCTTAATTTGTGTACGCAATATAATATTATCTAGTTGTCAACAGAAATGTAATATGCTTAGCAGTCAAGGACCTCGCTGGTCAGATATTCGTAGCGACTATATATATTATATAATAATCTCAATGCAGTCCACTACCACCTTAAGACTGACAAGCCGCACTTACTTTTCTTGACTGAGACGCAGATCACATGTCCTCTAGTTGCGCGGCCTACCTTGGCTACTCTGGGTACACATTGGAGAATAATTTCCAGCGGCGTGCCGGAGTCTGTGTGTATGTCCGCAATGACATCTGCTGGAAGCGTCTCCGCCACCTTGAAGTCACTACTTTTTCTACGATTTGAATATTGAGAGACACAGCAATGGATAAAATTATTTATTCTTGTGTCTATCGATCGAAACGCGGTGACCAGGTATACTATTTGAACACATCAGCGAAGCCTCTGATGTGGCTCTAAATCGGTACCCTGCTGTACAGCCGGTTTTCCTGGGGGACTTTAATGTCTGTCATTAAGACTGGCTGTTCTTATACCAGAAGACCGACCACGCTGGGAGAGAGGCGTGTAATTTTGCGTAGTCGCTGGGGCTCTCCAAGCTTTTAAAACAAGTCTTAGGGTACCCGATGTGGATGGGCACACAGCCAACTGCTCGAACTTCTGCTGAAGACCGATCCGGACAGGTACGATGTTCAGGTTACCTCACCCTTGGGAACTTCTTACCACTGTCAAGTGAAATCTGTCACGTTATATTCCCCACCTAACTACGATTACCAAAGTGTGCGGCGAATATGGCAATATAGGTCTGCAGAATGTGATGACATGCGGCATTTCTTTGCATCTTATCCTTGGCGGTATGCCTGTTTCTCGTCTGAAGATCCGTCCAGTTGCGCGGATGTCATTACCGAAGTAATACGTCAAGCCATGGTGAATTTCATCCCCTTTTCTGACGTGCCAATTGGTGGTAAAGTACGCCCATGGTTCAACGTAAAATGGTATTTATCATGAGGTGCTCATGATAAATATGCTCGAGACCGCAAAGCTCAGGATGTTACCCGTAAGAAGAGGGTCTTTAACCAAGTCACCAAGTCCTGTAAAAAAAGGCATTACGGCAAGGTAGTTTCTACCGCATTAAGCCGCATCAGTACAATGCTCTTTGTTAAACCATCTGGCAGTAGAGCTTTTTGGTCTCTCCTCAAAATCAATCGAGACAAAATTCTGCCGGTCTACACTGTCTTCGCTGGTAAACCTAATAGCTCACTGCCGCATGCGGCTAAGGAGAAATCGAACATTTTTACTTCTCTTTTTGCTTACATTTCGCGTCTGGACAGTAGCAAAAGCGCACCACCTCTTACCTCACTGCGGTATCTCTACGTCAGAGGTCCGTATCACCAACAAGGAGGTTATAGTTCTAAAGGTCTATGCGCCTAATTTGTCTACTGTGTCGACGCGCTGGTTCCGCGTCTCATTCAGGACTGGAATTGTCTCCAAATCTTGGAAGCGAGCCAATGTGCAGCTGGAGCTTAAAAAGGCGCGCGTACCGACCCTGCCAACTATCGGCCAGTTTTATTTACCTCTATACTCTGCAATATATGGAGTGTATATATATTGAGCGCCCACTTCATGACATACCTAGAGTGATACTAAAATCGATCAACTTGGGACCTTCTAGAGTATGCCACTCACATATGGGGCGAAGCCCTCGGGAACAGTGGGGAAGTACTTGCTATTTCTCTTGATGTCTCGAAGGCCTTTGACAGTGTTTAGTACACTAGCATTTTGGGCATTCTCTCAGCGTACGGCTTATCCTCTGGCCTGATTGACTGGTCTGGGTGAAGGACCTTCTGAGTGAACGACCTCTCCAGGTCGTCGTCGATGGCTGCTCATCCAATCCTATCGCGACAAACGCCGAAGTTCCTCAGGGGTCCGTTAACTCCACAAATCTCTTCCTGCTGTATATTAATGATCTGGTTCCGACCCAAATCTTTTGTTGTACTAAATAACATATTATTTCACTTTACCCTAATGTACTTTGGAAATTAAATAGAATAGCTGGTAGCAGTGCTCTACTATGTTACCTTTTATAATTTTAAGGTTATAACCAAATCATTTGCACTTAGCGCAATCTATTGTTTACATGTGGAAGCCTCTCAATAACCATTAAGCTTACCAATTCTTTGTTTTATATTAAAGCCTAATTAACATTGTGGAACTAGTTTTACAATCAATTATAAGAAAAAATACAATTATGGCAACGAAAATTTAATTTAAAACCCTTTGAGGGAAAGGTACATTACATTATGCTTACATAACTGGTACCCGATTATTACTTATTATCCAAATGCAGCGCCGCATCTATCGGACTTGTGTGGTGGCGCGGACTATGCTTTAAGGTTTGACATAAGCAGTATGACGTAAAGAATGTTCTATTTTATGTATTTGTATACAGCGGCGTGACCAACGCCGCTGTATACAAATAGATCATATTGAAACAGACATAACGACGATTGGAAATTTGTTTTTGGATCGTATTGATAAAACAAAGTTTCGTCGCCTATAATTATGTCATATACTTATAAGGTGCGATAAGCCTGCTTCAATTTTGGTAATCATATCACGGTACCATTAAACGCAAGCCTGGTTCTTTCTGAGCATCGCTAAACCTGTGCACTCAACGCGAAAATATCCTCCTCACTCGCAAGTGCTCGTGTAAAATCTCGTGAACGCTTCCCGATCTAATCTGCAATATTTACTGAATCTCGTCATACGTCATTCGTCTTTCATTTACATTTTATTAAATTTTCCACTGCTAGCATGTTTCGTTCCGTAACATTCGTAAAAGGGGCTATTTCTTCATCACTCAAAGTTAGTCGACTATGCGGAAATGTGTTACACCAAACGTACACAATTGATTCTTCAAAAGGTTCTTTATCCATAAATACCAATTGAAGCCTATCAAACGATTCGTCGGGTTTTAGGCAACATTTAAAATCGCAATAAATCATCGCGTGGAAATGGTTCTGACGTAGATTCATTTTTTGTTTTTCGATGAAGCACGATAGTTCAATTTCGCTCATAAAAGAATGTGAAGGTAACTTTGAAATTAAAACATTCTTATTTTTATTATATAAACAACAATGGTATTTTGAAAATAAATTATAAATTGTCAACGGCTCATAGGAAAAAATACGCATAACTTTCTATATGCCTAGTTCCGTTTTTCTAAATAAGAAACATTTGTATATTAAAAATAATATCCCCATTTTCAGTTCTCATTTATCCGTAATATGTAGTCAATTTATTATCTAGTTAACCTTTTATAACATTACTTTATAGGTTATAAACATCAATCACTAATAAAAAAATTATAAAAATGTTTATTATTAGTGATCGATGGTTATAATAATTAAAAATTAAAAATTTTGTACAGCCGACTTCGATATAAGTTTTTAAGAATAACTCAAAAACTATTAGTCCGACCTTGATCGAATTCATATGGGACAACGTGAGAAGTACCAGCTTTCAAATAAAAAAAGAATCAATGAAATCGGTTCACCCAGTAAAAAGTTATGAGGTAACACACATAGAAAAACATACAGTTGAATTGAGTACCATCTCCTTTTTGGAAGTCGGCAGAAAATAAGATATTCCTAGTTCGTAAATAAGAAATACTTATATCAACAAAATTCCGTCATGGAGTTAGCTTGATATGAAGTTTACTTCTGAAGAAGATATTTTTGTGCCTTCTGCTTATACTATATCCAAAAATGACTATAGAGAAAAGTATTAAACAAATATTTATTTCAAATACGCAGAAAATCCGTATTCCAACAGTTGACGAAGAAGGCTTTATGTCACACAAGGAACTGTTGCAATATACAATAAAATAACATGATTTCCTTTGATAACAAGCAGTTTTTTTTATATCAGGGCTGTCTGTATAGAAACAGATATCATTCATTTAGTTTCAGAGACCGCCATTCACGATCAAGTTGCATAAATTAAAAACTGTAAAAACTGATTTTGAAATGCCAAAATGTTTACAGTTAGCTACAGAGTATAAATAATACAAACAAGCTAACTCATTTTATTTTTGAAGACTATTTCCCTCTGTCGCACAATTTCTAAAAAAGTATGTTAAGTTAGTAACTATTTTATTTGTCAATCAGTGGGGCACTGGCCTTGGAATGACAAGGGGAGGTTTCTCAATAGGCAAGATATATAGCGCGGAAAGCAGCCCACGCTCCGTGTAATGCCTAGTACAGAGCTTATACTATGCAGTCATTTATAAATAAAAATACGATAACGAGATATAAGCTTTGGCCCGTTCACGCTATTGTGGCCCAACGACATCGCCGCTATATACATAATATGTGGTGAAACAGGGCGATAGTTTAAGTTATTACAAATCAAACATTTAGTATTATTGAAATTTCTTTTATGATACAGTCAGGTTTGGCAACTTTACCATGGATGTTAACTTTGCCATCAGGGGTGTACTGCTAGAAAATTACGATTAACACGGAAAACGTAACGCTTTTCGAGATAAACCATGTTTTTGATGAAAATACAATAACAATAACTGATGACAGCATTGCTTTCTATATGGCAATATAAGAGTTAATTTTATCATTTTGTTTTAACGCGGAATTGTACAGGCGAATTAATCTCTTTGTCCAGTGCTCCAGAACTTTACGTTTTTTTTTTGTTTGATATACTGAATGTAGGTATCTATATCTTTGTAGTAACGTAATATTATCTTATTATCTTAACGTAACATTTATCTATAAAGCTAACTTGGCAAAGTTACCATACTAGTGATGCCATGATGTGACGGTTACTTTTTGGCATGTTTTGTTACTACCAAGGGT